TTTAAGAAGCCAGGGAGATAGCTCAGTAGAATAAGCGCTTGCCTGACAAGTGCAAGGACCTAAGTTCAATCCCTGGTTCAGCAAAAGAAATTAAAAAAATAAATAAAATAAAAATTTAAGTATTATATTTCAGTCAACACACATATGCAAAATATAATTTCAATAAGTAATGAATATTTTGTGTGTGTGTGTGTGTGTGTGTGTGTGTGTGTGTGTTTTGTTCCTTGAATGCCTTCAGGGCACTTTTGCATGGCTGGAGTGTTGTGGGGATCGAACTACAGCAAACTGAGGCTGCCAGCATTGTGGAAGCAGTCACTTAAAGAACTGAGCTAGGGCTGGGCCCCCAAGTAATGAATATTTTTGTGTTTTTCTTTGAGACAGGATTTCCCTATGTAATTCAGACTGGCCTTGAACTCCCTTACACTTTTGGCCTCTTTAATGCTAGGCAAGTGTTCTACCACTGGGCTGCACTTCCAGCCCCAGAGAGCATTTATTTATTTATTTATTTATTTATTTATTTATTTATTTATTGTGGTACTGGGGATCGAGCTCAGGACCTTACGCTTGTGAGGCAGGTGCTTATGCCCCTGAGCTATCTCCCCAGCCCAAGATCATTTCTTTTTTCCTTTTCTTTTTGGTCTTTTTGAGAAAGGGTCTCACTATGCAGTTCAGGCTGACCTTGAGCTCACATTGTAGCCCAGGCTGGTCTCGAACTCACAATGATCCTCCTGCTTTAGCCTCCTGAGTTCTGAGATTCTAGGTGTGTGCCACCATGCCTGGCTCCCAGATCATTTCTAAATTACTCTCTAATATGCACACATACACCCTCCACTGATCCCATACCACCCTCTGCTGGTCCCCAAGGTGCTATCTAAGAGATCTCTTGGTAACTACTCAAAACACTACCAACTACTCTTTTTATTTTATTATTATTGTTTAGTGGTAGCAAAGTTTTATTAAAGGTAGGAAAAGAAACAGGCTTGGCAGAGTGGGTTTGGGCCAAGTAAAAGTAGGAAAAGAAGAGCAGCATAGCGTGAGGACAGTAACCTTGGAAGAGCAAGCACAGTAACCCCAACTGTCCTTGAAGTGGGCCTCACCTGTACCTTAAATCCATGCTCCATGACCACCCCTCACCACACCCCACCAACCTCCCCTCCTACCCCCACAAAATAACCTTCCAGCAGCCCCAATTACTGTCCCACATACTGCCGACTATACTTTGTGTGGTCTCCCAGCTGCACTGCAGCCAGTCCTCCAGAGCGCCACACCTCCAAGACATATTCCACTGATCCAAGACAAAGTTTCACTACATAGTTCAGGCTGATCTTGAACTTACCACATAGCCCAGGCTGGCCTCGAACTTGCAGTGATACTCCTGCCTCAGTCTCCCAAGTACCAGTATCACAGGCATGGGCCACCATGCCCGGCTTTCATTTTTATTAATCTTTTTTTTCCTTTTTGTTATTGGACATTGAACCCAAAGCTTTTGTGTGTCCAGTCTTTTATAATTTTTTTTTTTTTTTTTTTTTGCGGAAC